TTCCCCCTTCCTAAATTTTTGTTATCCCCTTAGACCTATGACTAAAGTTTTTAGATTCATTTTCAAAGGAAAGAATCTTCTTTTTCTGTTTCTTTCCCCTTGGAACATTCCTACTCCATCCCTATTCCAAAGATACACCAGCTTTTGACCCTGTAAATATTTGGAGAGACCTCTACATGAACCACCAAGGACCCTTAGGGATCCCTAGATCCCAAATTAGTTTAAAAATATTAATCTGTAAAGCCATCTGAGGTTGTGAGAAATGATGTCTGATACAATTCTGTCACAGAAAGAAAGTGTATGCTTGTGGGAAAAACATTAAATTTGGCATCAAGGAACCTGAGTTCTCATCCTGGTTCTCCTACAATGTACGTGCAACTAATTCCTTGGCACTTACCTTTACTACACTTTACCTTTCAGAGATGCTGAAATGTTAAAGGAAACATTATTTTTTAACTTCTATATACTGGTGTTAAAATTATAACCTTCTCCCACCTTTCCAGTTTTCTTGCACCTTCCTTACATCTCCCTTTCCCAAGTACTCTGTGAACTAATGACACTGGCCTTCTTTCTGTTCCTCAAACATGACATCAATCTCCCTACACCAGGCATTTTTGCTGCCTGTCCCTCATGTATGGAACTCTGTCTCTTCTTCTTCATCTCCTACTCCTGGCTTCCCTGTCTTCATTCAAGTCTTCTCTAAAATCCTACCTTCTACAGGATGCCTGTCCCTATTTCCCTTAATGCTAGGTCCTTCCATTTGTTGACTATTTCCAATTTATCTGGACATTGTTTGTACATGACTGTTTGTTTACTGTCTCCCCCATTAGATTGTTAGCTTTTTGAGAGTTGGAACTGTCTTTTGCCTTTCTTTGTATTCCCAGTTATTAACACATTTCCTGGTACATAGTAGGCACCCAATAAATGTTACCCTATGTATGGATTGACTGATTTGAATCACTGAAATTATTTTGTAATGCACGAATAGATCCATAATTACTATAAAGTGGGTGGACTGGCATGTATTCAGTCTAGAATGGTGATCAGAAAACGCCCTGAAGAGATTGAAGTAAAACATGAATTTTATAAGGATTATTATGCATATAATGGCACAAAATATTGAGCTATTCTTTGTGATCTTATTTGTACATGAAAAATACTGGACACAAGATACATACATATGTAATGTGATATGTATGTGTAATTAAACATTAAGGTAGCAATATTCAAACTAAAGTATATATATATGTATATATGTGTGTGTGTATACATATATATGTATACACACACACATATACACACATGCACACACATACTTTAGTCCTCCAAGTTGAGGAACTAGATTTTATAATTCATTCCACGGATTGTTAGCCTCTAAGGAACTAATTCATCCTGACCAAACCGACTAAAAACAAGACTGAAAATGTATTTATTTTAATGACAAACATTATAGATAGAAAGGCAGAATGCTATTTGTAAAAACAATACTGAATTTGGAGTCAAAGAAACTTGGATTCATCCTTTGCCTCTTACATTTTACTAGCTGTGTGACAATCAGCAAATCACATATGTTTTTTGATACTCAGTTTTCTCATTTGTAAAATAAGGGAGATTACCTGTGGCGCTGAACTCCCTGCATTGTTATAAGGATCAAATGGGAGAATTATGCAAAGCTCTTTTAAAACATAGTGGTAGTAACAGCAGCAGCAGCAGTAATGGTGGTAGTAATAGTTGTAGTAGGTAGTAGTGGTGATGGTGGTGGTGGTGGTGGTGGTGGTGGTGGTATTGGTGGTGGTGGCAGTAGTAGTAGTAGTCATCTTAGTAGCTATTACAAAAATAAAATAAATGCAGAGATGACTAAAATACTCATGGCTGGTGAGGATATTGTCTTTCAAGTTGAGAAATCTATTTGGAAAATTAAATTAATAATAGAAAGATACTTAGGTTACCCATAGAATAAGAATATAGGAAATTGATAATTTTAATATAAAGTGACATTGAGCCCTTTATTGTTTGAAGCATTCTCTACCACTCTTCTTCTTTTTTTTTTCTTTTTAAATTTATCATTCCTACATATGATGACAAGGTCAATTTGGAGGTGAAAATATGGAAATGTCAGTAACAGTGAATGTCTCCAACTGTCAGCAATAAGAACATAGATTACCTGTACAAATATATTGACCCTTCTCATTACTTTTCAATTCTTTTTTCTTTAAAGAAGTTCAAAAGGTTTTCTCAAACTTAATGGAATACACAATAGATTTTAAAGTAGTTGGAAGAGTTGGGTTAATAATAGTAACTAACTTTTATATATCACTACTATGTGCCAGGAACTCTGCTAAACGCTTTACAATTTTTATTTCATTTGATCCTCACAACCTAGAGAGGTAGGAGCTATTATTATCTTCATTTTACATATAAGGAAACTGAGGCAGAGTTTAAGTGACTTGCCCAGGGTCACACTACTAGAATTTGAACTCCGGTCTTCCTGACTTCCCAAGCCAGGCATTCTATCCACTATACCACCAAGTTGCCTAGTTTAAATGCCAGCTCTGGTGTTTACAGCCTGTGTGACTTTGGATAAGCCCTTTAACTTCTCTGGGCTTCAGTTTCCTCACATAAAAAATTGAAAGGACTTGTTTATATTCTAAATCGTGGATAAGCTCCCTGCCAACTCTAATCCCTGTGATCCTAATGTGAATCCTGTGGTTCTGATCCACCCTTTGCCTTATTTAGTAATTCATCACTTCTGGTAACATTACTAGTTCTGATCTCCGAAGAGGTAGAAAGTATCAAAAATTGCTCATCTGTCAACCTGTCACCCCTGGCAGTGGCTTAGCAGTTCATAAAGAGTATCAGCAAAGAGCAATGCAATAGTCAATCCAGTTCCCATAAAGTTCAGACCCTAGGTCAATAAAGAGGAAAAAAGAAAGGAGACAAAAAGAAAAGTATAGCAAAGAAGGAGGTTGGTTTTGGTTTGGTTTTTAGTTTTGTTTGGTTTTATTCTGCCTTTCTGGGTGTCAATTCTTCATCTGTAAAATGAAGGGACTTAACTAGATAATCTCTAAATTACTTTTCAGTTCTAAAACTGTGATTCTATGATCACTCTCACTTTCTACCCCAAACTCCAGCTTCAGCTGAGGATGTTGGGGGCTGTTATCAAGTTGTGAGTGTGACTAGTCTGCTATGCATTGGATAGTAGAGATATATTGTTTTAAGTAACAGGTGATCTAAAAATTTTAAAACCTAAATGAATATCTTTTTGGTGTATATACTTATAAACAGAATATATGCTAAAAGATTTAGCTTGCAGGAAATAAAGTAATAAATGATAAAACACTTCCTCTAAATAGAGGAGTAGGAGATAAGGGACTGGAAATGCTGTATATGCTGTCATATGAGGTTAATAGATTGGCTTCTTTTGTTAAAAAACATGATTCATTTTATTGTGTAGCATGGGAAATATCAGGATATGACTATGTAGTAAAAATAAAATTCATCTATAAAACAAAAATAAATGAAAGGTACAGACTCTAGGGCAGGGGTTGTTAACCAGAGTCCCTGATGGATTTTAGGGAGTTCATGAACTTGGAGGGGAAAAAATGCACCTGTATTTTCACTAATCTCTAACCGAAATTTAGCACTTCCTTTGATTACATGCAACAACATGTGTGGTTCAATAAGTTTCACGAAATTTCCAGAGCAGTCCATCACACACACATGCGCGCACGCGCACACACACACATACACACACAGTTGAAAGCCCTTGATTTAGGGTCAGCTAAAAATGCTTCACTTTATATATTTCTTAGCAAAAGTTTCATTTCTCATAGGCAACAGAAAACTAAGTTTGTTCTCAGCGTGCTTGATTTATTGAATCATCAGATTTAGTGGAGTCAAAAGTAGTATTTTATCAAGATCATCCTTGTTAAAAAGGGTTATAAAATGAAAATACAAACTGGCTAATTGTCCTAATGCAGTTATATATCTGTGTGACTGTTACTATCAAAGAATATTTATCCATTGAAAGTTAATACTTAGTGAGGTTAATAAAATTTCTTTTAAGAAATTAAGTTAAGATTTTGTTTCACATTATTTCTTTATACAATGAGAATTAAAAAGCTATTCTCTCCTGGTATCCCTAGGCCACTTTTATTTTGTTTGATAATTGATCTATGTAATGTGCTTTCATTTCCCTATCATTTCAGCTTGCTTTCTAATAAATATATATATATATATATATGTATACACACACACACACACACATACATATTTCTCCTTTAAGTCCTAATCCTAGTCGGGGGACATGTGTGTTGGAGATAAGACTTTTTTAAATGGAATTGGACATGGGTAACAGCCATCTGACTATTATACACCAATAGGCTGACAGGAAAGATTTTAAGTAAGATTTTATTCTGCAATTCCTGACTTACATTGCTATTGTCCTCTGACTCTTTATGGACATGGAGGAAAAATGAATTAATGTCGTGCTGCACAATTTGAACTTAACATGTTTCCATATCCTTTAATTTTGCGTTCATTTCCTTTTCTCCCTTAATATAAGATGACTCTAAAGTCTCTTATTACTTGCCTAGGGGACTAGGATGAGAGCAATATCTTGTGTTACACATAGGGCAAGGCATTGCAAAACATGGCCCTGCTGTGACATAACAAAGAACAAGAACAAGAACAACATGGATAATTAGGAAGACGATGGTCCCCAGGGGAAGTGTGTTATTTTTTGTTGTTTTTTGGGGGGGGTGGCTACCTGTACCATTGATGGAAGGAAGGTTTGTGAAGAGTGGGAAAAACAAGGGGAGGCTAGTCAGGGTGGGGCCTGGAATGGCAGCAACCTCTGCAACAGCAGCAAAGGCCAGAAGAGACCTGGGGTAGGAGGAGGGGGAGGGGGGCAGCAGTGTCTGGAAGGAGGCAGCTGGGTGGAGGGCGAGGGGCGAGCGGTGCATCCCCGGTGGGATAGAGGTGGGGCCGCACACTGGTACCTGCGCGGGCTCAAGCGCCCCAGCCACTGGGTCCCCGACTCCGAGATGTTCCCGGAGAAGATGCTGGTAGCTCAGACAGTGCTTCACAGCGGAAGGCATGTTCCCCATGGCTGTGCCGCTGCCTCCGCGGGCTGCCTGCCGCTGCAGCTGCAGTGGGGCTCAGGGCCCAGTTTGGGGTTGGTCCTGGAGTCCCTTCTTCCACAGCCCGAGCCTCGGGTATGCAGCGAGCCCCGGAGAAGCATCCACCAAGCGCTGCCTCTTCCTCCTCCTTGGCAACCTGCTGTCACCACTGAGCATGCCCAGAATTATCAGCGCGAACCCCTCAGGTTCCCCTGTCACCTGCGAGGCATATCCCTGGGGAAAATAGAGGAAAATTCAATTCAGTTCCATATGATTCAATTTAATGAGATAAAAACGTTTATTAAGTGCTTCCTAGGGGCATGGGTCAAGGAGCAGTCTGAGCTAGAAAAAAGAGTTTCGTAGTTGGGAACACCGAAATTTCAGTATGTCCTTTGACCTAAGCTGAGTGTATGACCCTGGACAAATCTTTTGATTTCTAATTGCCCCCAGGAAACTGGCTAAGAATATAAATTGCAGAGCAGTTTCCAATTTGCTTTGGAACAGGGAGTTCCGTAGACCCATGAAATCACAGGTCTGCACTCATAATAAAAGAAAAAGTACAAGGCACTTTTATACATATGTATGTATATGTATATGTGGATGTGTATGTAAATATATATGTAAATGTATATGTAAATATATATGTGTGACATCTATTTCAATATAATTTATTTCATTTGTAATCCCATGTATTGGGGTTCGCATGATTCACTAGACTGCCAAAGGAGTCCATGACACACAAAAAAATTAGGAATCCAGGACTAGAAAAAGGGAAATGAATGAGGATACCGAATCTATCAGGCCTAACAATTGTAAAGCAACTGACTATTGAGGAGAAGGAGATCAGAGAATGATTTCAAATGAAACCATCAGACACATTCAGAATTATGAATGTGTAACAGTTTCCAGGCAAATCATGTACTTGACATGGGAGCACAAAACTAAGGACTAGAGATATATGTGTATATATATATCTATTATACATATAAAAATACATACATATATACATTCAGAGAGAAAGACAGGTTTTGTTTAGTCCTTTCAGTTTTGTCTGATTCTTTGTGACCCCATTTGGGGTTTTCATGGCAAAGATACTAGAATGATTTGTCATGTCTTTCTACAGCTCATTTTAAAAATGAGGAAATGAGGCAAACAGGGGTAAGTGATTTGCCTAGGCTCACCCAGCTAGTGAGTATATGAGGCCAGATTGAAACTCAAGATTAGTCTTCCTGACTTCAATTCAAGCCCAGCACGCTATACTCTACACACTATGGCAACTAGCTGATTGGTATATGCATACATGCATGTGTGCATGTATGTGCACATGTACATATATATACACACATATGTATAAATTCATATGTGTGAATGTGTATGTTGGACACCTTGCTAACTCGAAAAGTCTACAAGCCAAGACTAAAGTGGAAGGAGAGTTAGTGCACAACTTTTTGTTCTCAGATAATTGTGCACTCAATAAGCCTCTGAGGCTGAGATGCAACAGAGTAGGGATCGATCCTCTGCTTCTTGTGCTAATTTTGGCCTCTCAATTAACACCAAGAAAACAGAAGTTCTCCACCAGCCAGCACTGTACCATTCATACTTGGAAACATCGGTTACAGCAAATGGAGAAATTTTGAATGCTATGGTTAAGCTCACTTACCTTGGCAGTATACATAGATGATAAGGTTGACACATGCATTGCTAGAGCTAACTCAATGTTTGGGAAGCTGCTCAGGAAAGTGGGAGAGAGGAGATATGTTAGGCTGCCTACCAAACTGAAGGTCTACAAAGCTGTTGTGCTGACTTCATTGTATGCCTGTGAAACGTGGACAGTATACTAGTGCCATGCCAGTAAATTGAATTGCTTCTATTTGAATTGTTTTAGAAAGATTCTGAATATCACCTGGTAAGATAAGGTACCAGACACTGAGGTCCTTTCTCAAGCTGAACTGCCAAACATTCAAATTCTGTTGCAGAGAGCACAGCTCTGATGGGCTGGCCATGTTGTTCAAATGCCAAAGGTACATTTGCCTAAAAGACTATTTTATGGAGAGCTCACACATGGCAATTGTTCACACAGAAATCAGAAAAAAGTGATAAAATGACACTCTCAAGGTCTCTCTGAGGAACTTTGGAATTGATTGTGAGTTATGAGAAACACTGGCACAGGACAGCCCAGCACTGCATTCCTAAATCAAAGAAGGCACTATGCTTCATGAGCAAAGTAGAATTGCAGTATTCAAAAGAAATGTGGGATGCACAAATTAAGAGACATCTCCATTCCAAATGTTCATACAGACTGTTTTGTGCCCTAGAGCCTTCTGAGTTTGTATTAGTCTGATCAGATACAGTCGGACATAATGTACATTGACCCTGACATAATGATGTCATTTGCGTCCTCTTCATTTACAAGGACAACAACTAAACATATACATATACCCATAAAATACATAAGTTTCTGTTGGTTAACAGATACATGTCTATCTCAAAGGCTTCAGGCTTTAACAATAAATCCATGGAATGGATGAAAGAAAGGGAAATATGTTTCCGGTCTAAGGAAAGCAGTTCCTTGGCATGTAGAATGAATATAGTGAGGACATACTATACAATAGCTAGGGAGAGGCAATTACCTACTGATCAATTGACTCTTATGTCTTCTGTTCCTGAATGGCCTTCCCCTGTCCCCTCAGCTGCTGAATCTGTTGCATATATTTCTCAATAGCACAGCCTTGATGTTTACCAGGATTTGAAGTTTAACTATGTTCAAAATAATACCTGATTCCATTTTAGTTTTTAACTAAGTTTCCATCCATTCTCTGCGTCAGTACAAATGAGCTTTAGCTTATTTTCTTTAATGTCTTTCCACCTCTCAAACTGAATTGAATTTCTAAGTGGCACCAATTCAAGTCATACAATAAAATGTTATTCTGTCCTCTGTCCATAATGTCTTCAAAATGCCAACCACTCCCAACTCTTATCTATATCAGAGTCTCCAAGAGATCTGGGAATCAGTACTTCTGTTAGAAATAAATCACTTCTTATCTTTGCTTCTTTATTTCCACAAGCAAGCACACAAATATCTCCAGGGTAATTTAGAGGATTCTGGAATCACTCAAATGCAAGACTGACTGAAGAAATCATTAGGCAGTTTCCCACAGAGCAGGGACATCTCAAGCACTCCATTATTCTTCCATCTAATATAATAAGCAGTTTCACAGATCTTCAGAACAGAAGGAACCTAAAGAACCTAGTCTTGCACCCCATACCTAAAATATTAATCTACTTGGCAAAGGTCTCAACAGATGATCATCCAGTCTCCCCTTGAAGAATCCCAGTAATGGGCAAACTATTATCCAAGATAATCCATTTTGCTATGAATCAGATCTAATAACCAGATTTTTTTTTACTTAGATTAAGTGAAAATGTGTCTTGCTGTAACTCTCACCCTTTGTTCCTAGTTCTGCTTTTTGAGGTCAAACAAAACAAATCTGATACATCTTCCAAGTGAGAAATCTTCAAAAATTTAAAGATAGCTGTCACATCTTGCTTCTACTCTCAAATCCCACTTCACCTGCCAATTCTTCTTCATAATAAATATCAGTTTCTTCAATGGGCCAGGTTTTGAAAGTCTTATTGACTATCTCTAGCTTGTCAATGTCTTCTATGAAACACAGCATCCAGAACAGACCCCAGTATTCCAAAGGAACCCTGACTACACCATAAAATAATGAGTTACAAGCTGATAGATATTTAGCTTCTGATGCAATTACATGATCATGCCACTAAACTACTCAAAAAATCTTCAATGGCTCTCTATGCCTACTGCATAAACTCTAAATTCCTTAGCTTTGCATTGCAAGTCAGTCATCCTTATTCTTCTTGACTCATTTTATCTGCCTCAAGTAATCTAAATACCTATTAAACAATTATTCATTTCCCCAGATGTGTCCCATGCTTTCTAGTCTTCAAACCACCTTTTGCACTTTTCCCTGTGCCTATAATGCCTTCTCTTCATTTTCATCTTTTGATATTCCATCAGCTCCTTGGGACTCAGCTCAATTGTTGCTTCCTTAATGAAGCCTTCCTTCATTCTACCAGCTGGGAGTGAATAAATGAATGAAAAAAAATTATTAAGCATTACAACATGCCTCGTTCAGTCTTGTCCTACTCATCATGACCCCATATGGGGTTTTCTTGGCAAAGATAGTGAAGTAGGTTGCCATTTCCTTCTGCAGCTCATTTTACAGATGATGAAGGCAAACAGGGTTAAGTGACTTGCGAAAGCTCACACAGCTGATAAGTGTCTGAGGCCAGATTTGAACTCATGAAGATGAGTCTTCCTGACTCTAGGCCTAGCACTCTCTCCACTGCACCACCTAGCTGCCTACAGTGTGCATTCACATAGTGCCTAATAATAGGCCAGGGATGTGTTACAAACTTTTACAAATAGTATTTTATCCTCATATTAAAATACTATGTGTGGTAGGTGGCATTACAATCCTCATTTTATAGTTGAGTGAACTGAAGTAAACAGAGTAAACTGAAGCACACAGTTAGTATGTGTCTAAGGCCAGGTTGGAACTCAGGTCTTCCTGACTCCAGGCCCCATGCTGTACCCACTGCACCACCAACTACCTCAGCATGCTAAGTGATTCCTCTATTTTGTATCTTATTTTATATTTTATCAGTTATTCTCATGTATCATAATCTAGATTGTTTTATTTATCCATTTACAGGTCTTAATCTCACTCTACTTGATTGTAAACTCCCTGAGATCAAAGATCACATAGACCATATGGTAAATGTTTTGAAAGTAGTGAGACATCTGAAAGACCTTAGCTTAAAAAGGCCACTGCATCCTGAGCCATCTCCAGTCATCCTGATCTATATCTAGCCACTGGACCCAGATGACGCAGATGACTCTAGAGGAGAGATAGAGGCTGGTGATTTTGTACAGCACTCTCTCACTTAAATCTAATTCATTTGCAAGTCATGTCATCTTA